TTAGTTTTTTAAATTATTTCCAGATCACTTCCCCAAATAAGAACTAGTTAACATTCCCACCAGTAGTATGATAGGATTCCTTTTTCACAACATCCTCTCCAGCAATTGCTTTATTGGGGGGGGGGTCTTTTAAATATGTGCCATTCTCAAGGGTATGAGATATCTAGTTGTGGTTTTGACCTGTATCTCCACTATTAAAAGTGATGATGAACTCTTTTTTCATCTTTTTTGGCCTCGGATACCCTCTTCGATGAATTGTCTGTTCAGATCTACTGCCCACTTGTTGTTGTTAAATTGTATATGTCTTTAAATATATCTTGGCTATTAACCCCTTGTCAGTTACAGTCAGTAGGATGTCTTTTAATCTTTTATTTTCTTTCACAGTCTAAAAGCTTTTTAATTTGATGTAATCTCAATTGTTTATTCTTGCATGTTTCCCTTGCCATAAGGGGGGAGTCTCCAAAGACATCTTTATCAATGATGTCATGAAATACATTGTTAATGTTTTCTGTTACACATTTTATTGTTGGAGGTCTTATATTTAAGTCTTTGATCCATTCTTGAATGCACTTTTGTGCATGGAGTTAGAGAGTGACCCAACCTCACTCACTTGTATATGATTATCAAGTTCTTCCAGTCACCATTGTATGGTCCTGGGCTTTTATCATGAATTAAATGTTGATATGTAGGTGCATTTATTTCTAGGCTTTTGATTCTGTTCCATTGTTTGATGTTTCTATTTTTTTTTTGTCAATACCATAAATTGTTTTCATCATTGCTGCTATATAGTACATTTAGTAACAAGCTCTCTTCATTTCTCCCCTTTTTCCTCAATTGCTTTAGCTATTCAAAAATATTAGTGTTTCCATATGTATTTTCATATTTTTGCTCAATTTATTTAAAAATATTGTTGATATTTTGATGGGGATTACATTAAGTTTATAACTCGATTTTGCAGCAAGACTTACTTTGGCTATATTGAGTCTCCCCATTCATGTGTGTGGAATATCCTTCTATTTCCTTATGTCATGATCTAAGTCCTTTAATAACATCTTGTAATTTTCACTATATAAGTCCTTCACCTCCTTGGTTAGGTTAATTCCTAGGCAACTGATTATTTTTGAAGTAATTATGCGTGGAAATATTTTCTTAATTTATTTTTCTTCTCAGTGATTATAAATAAACCCAGAAATAAACCCACATATTATGGACAATTAAATTTTGACAAAGGAGCAAAGAATATGCAATGGAACAAGAACAGTTTGTTCAATAAATGGTGCTGGGAAAACTGGACTGCTACATGCAAAAGAATGAAGCTATACCTCACACCATGCACAAAAAACAGCTCAAAATGAATGAAAGAGTTGAACATAAGACCTGAAGCCATAAAATATATAGAAGAAAATATAGGCAAAATACTACACAAAGACATACATCTCAGCAACATCTTTAAAGGCACATCCCCCAAAACAAAGAAAGACAAACAGCTGGGATTACATCTAACTAAAAAGTTTCTGTATCGCAAAGAGACACTAACAAAAACAGAGACACACCTTACTGACTGGAAGAGAATTTTTACACATAATAAAACTGATAAGGGACTGATCACAAAGATCACACAAAAAATTTCACATGACTCAACAAAAACATAGTAAATAATCTAGTAAAAAAAAATGGGCAGAAGAGCTACAAAAGACACTTCTCCAAAGAGGAAATACAAATGGCCAACAGGTATATGAAAAAATGTTCAACATCACTTATAATCAGAGAAATAAAGTCAAAACCATGATGAAATAGCACCTCACATCTGTGAGACTGGCTCACATTAAAAAACAGGAAACAAATATTGGTGAGGATGTGGAGAAAAAGGAACTCTCCTGCATTGCTGGTGGGAATGCAAACTGGTCCAACCACCATGGAAAGTTGTGTGGAAGCTCCTTAAACCACTAAAACTGGAGCTACCATATGACCCAACAATTCTACTCCTAGGAGTCTACTCAAAGGACACAAAAACATTAATTCAAAAGGATACTTGTCCCCCTGTGCTTATTGCGGCACTATTTATACTAGGTAAGATGGAAACAACCAAAATGCCCAAAAATTGATGATTGGATTAAGAAGATGTGGTATATATTCACAGTAGAATACTATTCAGCAAAAAAAAAAAAAAAAAAAAAAA